AATCAATTATCAATGCACCTAAGCGTAAAATTCTAATCCTCCTAGCCAATGATGGACAGATATGGATTCCACCAACTAGTAAACGTTTAAAAAGAGGTCAATTATTGCCTACACTTACAACTTTAGGACCTAAAAGATGGGTTAACAATATTTTACAATGGTCGCAAAAACGCAGTATAATATCAAGTCAAGGTGTAACAAATTCGAACAATAAAGAAGTATGCACTAGTATACTGCCTTTAGCTCAATGGGTTGGTGGTTGTTGTCGTGTAGGTCCAGAGTATATACGCCAGTTGGCAGAAAGTATTAAACCTGATGAATATTTTACTGTCCTACCACCCAATGATCCTTTATATCCATATACAAAGGAAATAGACGATAAAAAGACGATGGTATTTAAAAATGTGACTAAAAGAAAACAAAGTCAACATGATAGTAATAAGATATCAAAGAAAAGGAGCAAGAAATAATGTCGCCGATCGTCAATCTAGACATATTCTGTTCATTGAAAACATTATGTACAAATGAGTTAATTACTGAATGAATAGACACGATTGAACTTCAGAAAACTCATTATCAATGCATGTAAATTGAAAATAAACAGTAGATAGGAATTAAATGCGCAATTTGTAACCGAAGATTTAAACATGCCATTCAATAATTAATGTTTCAATATCACAGTCTGTCTGTAAAATCCACCCATATTATTGAGAATAATGTGTATCCAAACAAGAGATGTTAAGAATTCTCTGGTATAATTATAGAGTCGAGTTAGACTGAATCATTAATTAATTAAGACAAGTTCGGAGTGTTTAGAATATCAATTTTTTCCTGGACTTAATATATGTGTAAAACTTGGGCACTGTGGTAGTAAGTAATTCCATATTAGTTTGTTTATCAGATATATCACAGAGTGAAACACTATTATTTACTGGATAACGAAGTTTCGAAGACATTTGATTGTTCATAATCATATCAGTTATAATCACACGACTTTGAAACTTGAGTTTTATAGTTTCCTTTGTCCTCTCCTATTTGTCGTCGTTGGGGTAGTAGAATTTTCAAGATATCAGGGACAGGTGATGAATCATTCCTATTACATGTATTTGCAGCTGATTCAATAAACAAAGCTGCTGTTATCAATCTCTCCCTCCACCCTGTGACATTAGATTAAAATAATAATGACAACATGCATGTCAAACATGCGCAAGACGACACCAACAAAATAAGGAATCTAAATCTTCAGTAGTAATTCCATAAAAGGGAGAAACCTCGGAAACCACCTTACACAGAATTCTTAACAAAGCGGGTATAAAAGTGGGTAGCATTAAAACCCACAAACTCAATTAGAAACAAGCTTGGTCGATTAAAGGATCCTTCTAAACAAAACAATGTAGTTTATCTAATACCCTGAGATGATTGTTACGTCAAATACATAGGTCAACTAGTAGAACAGGAGCAGTCAGACTAGCCGAGCATAAAAACCTAGCCAAATCTAGATTGGCTGGCCCGAATAAAATAAGAAATCTAGTGAATAATAGAGGTTTTTGTATTTCCCAATGAATGAAAAACAAAACGATATTGTTTTTTACTGACGTTTCGCTATTTAATGCTAACAATATCGTTTTGTTTTTCATTCATTGGGAAATACAAAAACCTCTATTATAATGACTATCATGTACCCAATGCCCAAATTTTTTCAAACCGTTAAAAGTGAACTTGGTTTGGACATATATAATCTAGAGAATAGTTCAACTATAGCACTACACCACATGCAATTACACACAAGCATACAATATGATGGACTAAGATGACAGTTTAAAAATCTAATGTAATATAACAGGGTGGAGGGAGAGATTGATAACAGCAGCTTTGTTTATCGAATCAACTGCAAATACATGTAATAGGAATGATTCATCACCTGTCCCTGAATCTTGAAAATTCCACTAGCCCAACGACGACAAATAGGAGAGGACAAAGGAAACTATAAAACTCAAGTTTCAAAGTCGTGTGATTATAACTGATATGATTATGAACAATAAATTTTTTTCGAAGTGTCATCCAGATTTTTGATAGCCGACAGATTCTTTAAAAAAAGTACTCAGATTTTATTATTAACCATCAAAATATGTTGTCAAACAATATACATATAATATTGACAGTTTGACATTATCATTACAAATATAGGATGACTCATTAGAATTATTCTATTGGTACAAATATCTACTGACAAGTGAACTTGCTTGAAGTTCACTTCAATTTATATACTCTTCAACCATATTTATATATTTACACTTTGTCCTGTTCTCTGAAGGCCTCTTCAGATGGCCCATAAGGTCTCATCTCCTCCTCACACGATTTCCTCATTGGGGCGCTCGGACGACCAACTCGTCGTTAGGGCTCCACTCGAGGGAGTGGCATCTGATGTCACTCAACGATCTCATCAGCGTATGTCCAATCCACCTCCACTTTCTTTGGAATATTTGCTGAGCAGCAGGTTATCGACAGGTCGGTTCCCAGAGTTTCTTGTTGCTAATTCCTTCTGACCACTTGGTCCTCAATATGGAGCCAGCAAAGACAGCTGTTGATGAAAATCTGTCCAAAATGCTTTTAGCAACTCGCACGCCTAGCCTCTAAAGCTTGTAGAAGAACTGGCTTGGTATTGATGTTGAAAATTCGAATCTTGTTGTTTATCCTGAATGAGTGAAGAAGATCTACAAACTGAATTCAGAGTGATGAAGGTCTATCTTGCCATTCTAATTCGGGTTTTGACATCCTGATCGGTGTCATAGCCTGTAGCTGAAACGATACTGCGTAGATAAGTGAAGGAAGTAACATCTTTCAAATTTATTTCGTTGACAATAATGGTGTGTTTGTTGATTGTCTTCATCAACCCTGTCTTTTCTATCTTCACTTGAAGTTCTGGTCTTCACTATTGCTTCTTTTGATATTAAATGGTTAGAGGCAATCGGCAGGAAGCCCAGCCTTCGACTAGGTTTCGTGCTAGTTGGCACTCATCATCAAGGCGTATCTGCAACCTTGAAGGAACTCATGTCCCTTCTGAGATTCGAATCCACGACACCCTGTGCTGCAGTCAGAACGTTACCACTGAGCTCTTCGGGCTCGCGATTGAACTCCTGTAGGACTGTAGTGGGTATTTTGATTTGGACACTGGTAACTAGTGCGATGTTTCTAGTCCTTTTTGGATGCAGATTACGTCTAACCATCTAATATCATCAAATCAATGTGCACCGTGATGTCCAGCTACCTAGAATGGTGGCCACATTGCAAACCTGACTGATAAAATTCAGTCTGCACCAAAGAAAGGACTAGAAACGCCGCACTAGTTACTAGTGTCCAATCAAAATTGCTTCTTCTGCCTACACCTGTTTGTTTACGCCTGTAAGTCTTCGAGTTTATGTGATATTAGATAAATACATCGTCGGCAAAGATGCAGATTGTCTTGCGCTCCACATTCTCGAGAATAACCAAGTCCATCAGAATTAAAAATATCATCGGTGATGATGAACTTACTTACATTATGAAAAAGAGAAGACGTCCAGCGAAGAGACTCTTTTCGGCGAATTCATTCACATAGCTGTACAATCGCATTTATATATAATTAGTTGTGTGTGTGTGTACATGAGGTTTGTCAAAATTAGATAATTGATCAGGTAATAAAATAATGATCTAATATAGAAACAAGGTTAATCAGACAGCAACTAAAGTAAGATTGAGTTAGTAAGTTAGATGAAGTAATATAATTGACTAAAATGTTTTAACTTAGGTCAGGGTAGCAACAGAGGTAATTACAGGTAGATACTAAGTAGAATAACAATAATGCCACTTAAATTAGAACTGAAATTGAGCAAATAAGTTGGAAGACGTAACATAAATGACTAGAAATTGAGCGTTGGTCAAGTCAGTAACAGTGGTAGTGAGGTGTAGAAATTAAATCAGGTGGGGGTAGAGAACAAGAAAGTTGAAAATATAAAATATTACAATTGAGAAGACAAAATAATACTAATGAAAACTCAGACAAAAAAAGATTAGGTAGAATTTACTTGTCGGGTAATAAGATCGATTATGTCCATTGCAACTGTAGCGATTGAACGAACTTCTTCTGTATGCAGAGTTCAAGACTTAGAGAGTGAATCGCCATTGCTTCTGCAGTTTGAAGAAATCTGATTCGTACACCATTAGGAAGACTACTTCTTACTCTGTAGACGACTTTCAAGTTTGTTTGAAGTGTAGCTTGGTGTCCGGATTCTATCGGATGTTCTAAGACGGAGCTGCGGGGGCATAGATTTTCCCCTTTGTAAAACCATGCTGGTAAGTGTTCGGTGATACGTTTGGAAAGCGAACGCTGGGTAGGGCCGACATACCTGGCTCCACACGAGCAGGTGAATTGATAAATACATATTGATGAGGTCAGCAGTGGTAGCTTATCCTTTACGTTCACATGGATCATAGGTTTTAATTACATGAACTTGATGGTTTACGAAACAGACCAAAAAAACACTAATGACTATCCAACGCGTGATGAGTAGATAGAGCTATTTTTTACATTATTTATGAATTAATAAAACATGAAAGATTTAAAATATTTTATCTTCTAAACTAAAATTCCCAATTACTGTTTTACTTTCATTACTTATACTTTTGTTGATGTATGTTCCGCACCAAAAAAAATGTGAAGGTTAGGCTTTTTCACAAACGCACTGGGGGAGATCCTGGTCTACCTTGCCAGGACAGCTAAGAAACCTTCATTCCAAACCAGAATCCACACGGAACAAATGGTGTATGAACCTGTTTTGGCCATTCGTAACCACAGGAACGTAATGCCTTTACTGATTTGTGGATCAAAGTCAAAGGGCCCCTTGAGGCAACCTACCTACCACCTGCTTTGATTTAGATATTCGGACAGAATTCCAGCTCTCGTGCAAACACCTATGAGATTTTGTGTGGTATACCTCTTGATACCAGCCTTCTGTACTTTCGTTTCGGTCTTATTAAAACGAAATGTAGGACTTTAATTAATATAATTAATAAAAACACAAATAGAGGAAGAAAATGTGCCACATATATATATTATATTATATTCATAGAATCATTCACAAAACACAGTTTATAAGATTTGATAAAATGAAGTTCAATTCCATAGGTTGATTTTGATATATGCGGACACGAACACACAAATACACACAAACAGATATATTATTCATGCATTATTATTTTTTACGGTAGATTAGAATAGACAATTATTATAATAATTGTAGGATTTTTAAAAAAATACAATACAATTAAATGTGACTATGATTCACAGTGCAACAACCGTACACACCGACATATATTACATAGCATTGGGTAGTCATATATTAATAGGTAATTGACGAATAGAAAAAATACAACACCTATTAAAATAAAACTGAGAACAGATCGAATAATACACACATACACACACATTGAAAAGGATGTTAAAATCAATTTAACATATATATATATATATATATATATTGGGATGAGTACATTTCAAAAACATAATAATATTATATGTTTAATGATAAACGTAAATATTAATTAACACACACACACACATTAAAAAATAACAGGTATTTAAAATAAAAACAGACATTTTTCTGTTTTAATTAATCAGACAGAGGGAAAGAAAAGGATAAAAAAGGGGGATTTTGTTATTGATTAAAAAAAAGGAATTGATAACCAAATATTAGTTGTTTCTTTTTTAAAACAAGTTATATTTTTACTAGTGATAGAATATAAAGTGAAGATTATGTGTATGCTTTAGAGGTTACATGAATACCTATGTACACATAAAACATCTTCACCTGAGAAGGAGGAGGAGGAGGATGAGGCGGAGGAGCCTGATGAAATAATGTCACATTTCAGGGAATAGAAAATCCTAGGAGAACTTACATATGTATATACGTCAAATATTACAAACCATAAAATTAAGGAGTAGCTTCATTTAAAATCTAATATTTACCCAGCAACAATAAAAAAAGAAAATAAAATCCAAAAACCTAATAGATGAATTAATGGATTATACGAAAGACAAATTGACAATAATCATGAATAAAAGAAAAATAGTGATAAGATTAAAAAGCTGCATAAATTAGTTGAGACGATTAACTGAAGTAGGGGGGGGGAATAAAATAAATAAAGAAAGAAGAGGGTGTTTCTATCCTACGCTTAAAGGCTTGGTGTTGTTGTTGTTGTTAATTCATTCGACGGATGAGATTAACGCAAACAAAACATTGACATGTTTCTGTGCATTGGATAGATGGGAAATATGGGACAAAATTGTCAAATGCCAATTGAGGATAGGCATCAGCTACACTTAAAAAGGCACTGCAATGAAACAAAACACACAATGGTTGAAAGAAATAAGAGAGATTATGAGTAATCACAGGAAAAATATATATCGCCATCTTACATATAAAAAAGAATAATGCGTACTAGCTAAATAATGAGATTAAATGAGGGGAAGAAAGTAGTATTTACGTTATATTCTAAGGGTGGTGGTACACTTTTTTCTGTCTAACTGAAATGCAGTGAAAGTGGTGTCAGCACTGACTGATAGGTTTCGACATAGAGCGTTTCGCAGGCGTGCAGCAGTTCGAGTCGCCACACACCCTCCATGTAGCACACAAAGCAAGAGAAGAGAGTTAAAGGGGGGGTTGAAAAGAGGGATAATAGACAGAAGTACGAGGGAGAAAGAATAGAAATATGGAAGAACAATAGAGTTTTATTGGATATGATAAATCACAAAGAGTAATGAATGCATCTGAGCCAGTCTTTGGCAACGATGGATTTGAGCCATATCACCAATCGTCTCATGATTTGGTTCTTACCGTACAGAGGATCCCAATCAGGTATTCTACACCTATCTACGTGGCTGGCTTAAACTAGCTGTGGGGGATTTCATTGAATGATGAAGTCATGTTTAGGTTTGACCACCACTATCTAGCTCTTTTCCAGCCTGATTCATCCTTGTCAGTCAGCTAACATTGCCTGTTGAGGAAGGAGATGGCTAGGGATGCATGCGTAACACATGTCGTTGACATCTCAATCGATGTATCTTCAAAACCTCGTCGATTGATTTCCCCTCCTTACCTAGAACTCGACGCCTAACCTCAATATTGCTCACCTTATTATACCACTTCACATGGGGGATAGAGCGCAGGCACCTATGATCAAAGACAGCTACCTGGCCTTTACATATCTTCCACCTTCAATGGCCATTTCTCACAGCCGTAAAGAAGGGCAGGGCGAACTATTGAGTAGTAAATACATCCTTTGATGAGTAGTAGAATATCACGTCTACACCAGAGATGGCGTACGTTGGCATATGCGTAAGTAGCTTTCTATATCCGTGTGAAGACTTCATCAGCGATCAACCGACCGGCATTGGCTGATGCAAATTCCCAAATAAGTGAAATGATCAACACGCTTTACCATTTCACTTCAGCCTATCTTTAAGCTAGAAGTCACTATTATCCAAACCATTCTGTAGCATCATCTCATATTTGATAGGAGCGAATCGCATGCTAAACATACGAAGATTGCTGCTCCAGGTGTTCAGAAGACTCTGTATCTCAACACACAGAGAGTCACGTATGATGTACTCAATACGTACAAACCTGACTGACAGAGTCTCAGCAAAGACTTTTGCTAAAAAGTGAAGCAATTCAAATTGCCACACTTCATATAGCACACAAAGGTAGACAAAATAGTGAGAAACAAGGATTCCAAAGGACTATAAATACACAGAAATATGAGGGAGAAAGAGCCGTAACGCGGAAAAAAAGCATCACAATTTAGAGTAAATTCAAGATTACAATGAGTAAACTGCATCTCTGCCAATGTGAACGATTTTGAGCCATATCACTAATAGTCTCCAGAATCCTGAGAGCTCCATCCTCGCAGTGAACATCTCCCTACGTAACTAAATGATGTCAGGTTTTGGATTGATTATCATTTAACTGTTTACCAACTTAATCCAATGTTAGCTAACATTACCCGTCGAGAAAGGCGATGGCTTAGAATGCGCGCAACACGACACGCCCTAGCTATCTCTCAACGGGAGTAGCTTCACAACTTGATCGATTGACTCACCCTCCTTACCTAATACTCTATGCCTAATCTCAATACTATTTGCAATATTATGCAGCTTAGCAAGGGGTATCGTGAGAGAACTGCAAAGACGGAAATGTAGTAACCACTAAGGTATTTATTAAGTAAGTTGTATGTGGAGTGTTCAGTGGTTTAATGAGAATTTGGAGTCTTTAACCATGGGCGAAACAATAATAAACATGAATACGGTTAGCAGAAATAAAGAATATATATATATCAATAAAAATTACCTAAAATTCATCTATTCAATGGTCAGAATAGTTGAATTTTTGTATTGGGAATTATGCTTCAATTAGTCGATGATTATGAATAGTAGATTCAATAAAAAGGAACTGAAAAGTGTACAGGTACTTCTCAGATCGATTAAGATGACCTACTAGACACACTAATCAATTTGTTCTTCAGCTTAGGAATTCCCTTCCATTTGCGAAACATGGATTGGACTATTGCGCTTATAAATAAAAATGTATTGTTGTTATTATCATTCCCTTCGGTTTCGAATGGAACATAGGCCTTTAACAGCACATCTCTATTTGATCTTGCCCTCTGAAGTCGTCCTTAGCTGCCTCCACGATTGACCATAAGGTCTAATTTCCTCTTCACACGATCTCCTCTCCACGGTTATCCTCGGACGGCTAAACTCGTTGTGTCCCTGTCGGGTTCTACTCGAGTGCCTAACGAAGGATGTCACTCACCGGTCCCTTCAACGTGTGTTCAATCCGTTTCCATTTTTGTCGGCATATTTGTTGGGCGAAATGTCCTTGATTCGTTCATCTCCAGAGTTCCCTAGTGCTTACCCTTTCTGTACCATATTTCAATGACACACGAAATGATTTAAAAAGCGGTAAGTTGCTGGATTAGACAAAACAATCACTTAGATGAAAAAAGTAATGGAAGCACTTCTTTTTAGCACAAAATGGATTGTTGTTTCACAGGTGAGAGTATGAGTTCAGTAGTTTTATCTTAAACTTTAAAACATTTGTATACGCTCAAAGTAGTCTTGCCAACCCGTCTATGCATAAAACTCGACAAGATGGAAAGAAACACAATGTTTCTATAAGAGACATTTAAACGACTACAAAATGATGATATATACCCAGTGCTGACCATCTCTGTATTGAATTATTACTCTACACTATTATACTATAAACCTGTTTTCTGTCTGTTTTCGACATAGAACTTTACACATATGTGCGGCAGTTCAAGTCGCCAAAATCCCTCCTTATAGCACACAAAGCAAGAGAAGAAAGTATAAGAAATGCATAATAGAGACAGTAAACAGAGGTGTGAGACAAAGGAATAGTAATAACGAAGAACAAAATAATTTCATTAGAAATTACAAGTCACAGGGAGTGGATGCATCTGCGCCACTGAGAACGATTTTGAACCATGTCACCAATTGTTTCCATCCATTGGTTTTTACCGTCTCGAGGACCCCAACCAGGAAGTCTACACCTTCCTACGTGGCTTAAATTAACTTTTGTAGATTTCATTGACTGGTGCCATGTTTTGGTTTGATAGCCGATAGCCTTTTTCCAGCCTGACCCTATGTCAGCTAATATTACCCATTGTCGAGGAAGGCGATGACTAGGCATACGTAACACATGTCCTTGACATCTCAATCGATGTATCTTCAAAACCTCGTCGATTGATTTCCCCTCCTTACCTAGAACTCGACGCCTAACCTCAATATTGCTCACCTTATTATACCACTTCACATGGGGATAGAGCGCAGGCACCTATGATCAAAGACAGCTACCTGGCCTTTTCATATCTTCCACTTTCAATGGCTATTTCTCACAGCCATAAAGGAGGACGGAGCGGACTGGTGAGGATACACCCGCCCTTTGGTCGATAGCCGGATATGACGTCTACGCCAAAGACGGCGTAAACTGGCATATGCGAAACCAGCCCTCTGTATCCGTACTCAGCTGAGATTTCGTCAGAGATCAACCATTGGCACTGGCTGATGGTACTTCCCAAATAAGTGAAGCGGTCAACGTGCTCTACCACTTCACTCCCCATTTCGAATCTAGGAGTCGCTGTAGTCCAGTTCTGTAACATTATCTTACATTTGACAAAGGGAGCGAATCGCATGCCACACATTTGTAGATTGCAGCTCAAGGTGTTTAGAAGACTCTGCATTTTGTCAGCGTCCTCGCCTAGAAGGACTATATCATCTGCATATTCTAGGTTAATAAGATTATTCCCTGATTGACCTAAAACTTTTGTTAATGTATGTGTAAAACTTGGGCACTGTAGTAGTAAGTAATTCCATATTAGTTTATTTATTAGATATATCACACAGTGAAACAGTATTATTTACTGGATGACGTTTCGAACAAAATTTATTGTTCATAATCATATCAATTGTAATCACTCGACTTTGAGACTTGAGTTGACTCGAGTCTAATCTAATATCTAGTAAACAAACTAATATGGAACTAGAACTTTTGTTTCAAGATTAAATGTTAAGCGGTGGATGAAGGTCAATACAGTTAGTTTTTAAACTACACTTTCAATTTGTATTGACATTTAGTCAGACAAAAGACGGAGTACTACATCAAGATAGTAGGCATTAGTCAGCCAGAGAAGTGAATAAATTTATGTGAATAGATTCCGGTACATGGACAATATGCTGAAACATAAAGGCATAGAGCATAGACCGAGAATCAATATTGAGTAGGAAAAAACAACTGGCGGAATAGCCTGATGAATCTTACCTTGAACAGTATTTACTGACAGACTGACGACGTAAATAATGACCACCAGGTGATACACAACGTGAATTTTGTGCAGCTGATGGATCCTCTGCATCAACTTCATTTGTATGAACATTTCCATCATTATTGTCATTATCCGATTTTTTTACGCTTAGATTAGTAGGCATATCAGAGTTATCAGTACTACCTGAAGCCAAACGACCTCCGCGAGCAACTTCAGCTATTAACCTTAAAGCGATTGAATGATAACGTAGAGCTAAAGGGATTAAATCGGCTTCTTTGTAACCAGTTATATGCTCTAAAATAGGAGGCCACAATGGTTGACGTTGTTCTTCTTCTAACTGCATTGCTTCGAGATCAGATTTGACTGATGGATCTAAACTATCGAAAGCGTGATTTTCAGTTAAAGAGTCAATCACAGATGATGATGATGAAGCAGGAAGGTTATTGTTACAACTGGGTGTTGAATGTGGTGCACGTACAACAGTAGAGAAATTCACATTCAGTGACTCATCTAAATTATCACTACAAAAATATAAAGAACATATGATAATAATAATAAGCTGAAATAGAGACAGATCAAGTACACCAAGATAATGAAAAGTCAGAATTCTGACTCAAATTATAGATATCAGAGAGATATGAAAGTACAAATAAAAGGGACATAGTCTGCAATTGATAATACAACCAACAAATACATAAGTGCATGGAGGATTTCATCATGAGCTGACATCAGTTAGAGAACCACTGGAAAACCTGGGAGTATTGGAGAGCTGTTTCGTCCTAGTTTGGGACTTTCACAGTGCGCACACACCAACTGGGTTCGAACCCAGGACCTTCTGGTTACAAGGCGAGCTCGTAGACCAATGAGCCACTGGGACCCGATCCAACAGTCCTTGAATTTAACTTCCGCCGATTCACGACCATTGGATCGGGTCCCAGTGGCTCAATGGTCTACAAGCTCAATGTAATCAGAAGGTCCTGGTTTAGACCCTTGTTTGGGGTGCATACTGATGAAGAGTCCCAAACTGGGACGAAACAGCTCTCCAATACTCCCAGGTTTTCCAGTGGTTCTCTAAATGATGTCAGCTCATGATGAAATCCTCCATGCAATCAAACAAAAGCCCTACAAAACCAATACTTGAAAACACATGATTAAAAGACTAAAGTACTTTTGTAATAATCAGTTCCTAGATTATATAATACAATGTTCCAATGTTAGGAACCAATATTTAAATGTCCTCAAAATCCTGACTCAGATTTTATCTGCAGGTATGTTTTTCATAAAAGTAAAAGGATGACTGAGAAAGTCTGGTGCTTACAAATAGACTGGTGAACATTCTGGTTTACTTATTTAGGGGAGTTGAGAAAACCTGACTTGAAACCTACTATGGTGTACATAGTCCCCACAATCCAAACAGATCGAATGGCGTATGAACCTGTTTTGGTCACCAAAAACCATAGGAAATGTAGCTCCTTACGCTGCCCTACTGCCCTGAGGATCAAACTTCAAGACAAAGGGTCAGGACGTGGGCTCATTGAGACAACTACCTGTTGTTGTCTGAGCAGTATCCCAGCTCTCGCAAAAACTGTAAGATTTTGTATGACACAGTTAGTTTGAGCCAGCCAAGTAGGGAGGTGTAAACTTCCTGACTGGAGTCCTTGGAACTCATAGTTCTCAATGGCTAGCGAAAATGCATTCATCACTCTCTGTGATCTATAATATCCAATAAAATTCTAGTGTTCCTCCCTATTACTATTCTTTTCCCCGCACACTTCTGTTTATTAGCCCAACTTGAACCTCCATTTACTCTTTCCTTTTGCTTTGTGTGCTACATAGAGGGAGAGTGGCAACTCGAACTGCTGCACTCCTGGGCAAAGTTCTATGTTGAAACCAGTCAGTCAGACAGATGGCGAATCTCTTTGTACTTATAATGTACATAATATTTGCAAGAAACTCCTGTTTATTGGTTGCACAAAGGTAAAATAAACAAAAGTTAGTTTTTTTTATTATAGCTTGATTCCACACTGTATTTTTGGTACAAGTATGTAATTTTCAACATGTGATATCGGTAGCTCAAACGTAGCAGGCCGACCGTTGATATCAGACGTGCGTCGGCAGAGGATCGAACCCCAGACATGTGGAAGGTCGGTGAGGATCCTAACCGCTGTGCCACACACGCATAGATACTCTCAAAATATTAAACCTCATCTATGAAAACGTTGATCAATATATATTTAAGAAATGAATTTGAAGAGCTTCAGTTTTCCGATAATTTTATTGTTACATATCCTTATTACATTATACAAAATAAAATAATGACAGATTATATGACGTACCAGGATAAACCATTAGAAGGCTTTTCTGTGAATTTAAATTGAAAACAATCAAAGTCACATGAACTTGAAGCTGACAAATTGTATGGAGATTTAGATGAATCAACATTTTGTCCAACCAATTGACTTAATCTTGTTCGGGGATTATTTTTATTATTAGTTATTTTAGATTTCTGATTTCGGCAATGAGCATAATAAGCTTGAGCATATACATTGTTTTGAATTAATTGCCTTAACTGATGTACATCAGCTCTACGTGTCCAATCTGCATACGATGGATTACGAAGAACTACTCGAGCAAGCCATAGGACAGCTGCAGCTTTACGTGATTCACGCTTTAAACTGATAACATGACTGTGCATACCAGCTTCTAAGAGGAATCGTGAGGTGAACTGAATTGGTCCACTGTGAGCATCCAAAACCTTAGAAAGAGTTGTGTTCTTTAAATACCATCTTTAGTAATAATTTATCAATATTATGTGGAAAAAACCAGTAATTAAGCGTAAATGATGACTACCATGAAAATCTATCAAATCGACAGGTATACGTACGTATTTTAAAGTAGGCTGAGCGTCGAAGGAGACATAAAAGAGCAGCAATCAAAATAAGGGAAAAAAGTTAAACAAACAGACAAAAGAAACGGATTATCTTCTGATATCCTATTCCACACACTTAACTTCCAATCCCTTTATATTTAATAGTTTAGTATTGAAGAGAATATCAAACACACCCTGAGAATATTTTTCGCTTCTACATACAACTGGTATTTTCTTCCCACCCAACGTTCTTCAATCACTCTAAAGATAAACAATTGTATTTGACCACTCCCCATGTGTATATATCACTTCACTTGCTGATGTGAAGCGAGATGTATATAAGTCGTTCGATGAGTGTTTTATCTAAAGAAAGATTCGAATGACATTATCCATACGGTTACAGAAAGGTTATGATGGATTAATAAGGACTGCTATAACTGAACATATATATATATTCAACACTGGCCACTCAGTATGCAAGAAGAAGTTATCTACAAAGTCAGAAGAAGCTTCTTGAAAACGGTATGCATTGCCGAGACTTTAGTGAATTGGACTGAAAACCTGATTTATACATTCAGAAGAAGCTCCTCACATCCTTTCCTTCTTACTTGGGTATAATTCAAAGTTCCACTATTATCAATATCTTGTCATTTAATAACACTGTATTTGTGCATTTTTGTATGACATTTATTATCATCATTTTCTTATCTGGGCATTTTGTTTACCCTCTTCACCTAGTACATAATTTATTTTGATGATACTTGTCGTCATGCTCTTTCATTAACATCCAGTTTTTCATATTACGTCACCTTAGTCTAAACTTACAAATCTTTACCCACCTTAGTTACAATTTTGATGATTCATCACTATTTTTTTGAAATATTCAAATGATGTGAGAACAATACTCCAAGACTAATTTTTATTCTTGTGCTATGTACGCACACACACACATACAAAAACAATTGAAATATTCTCATTAAGATAATTTTAGAACACGATTTAAGCAAGGAAATACACGTATTTCCAGTGAAATTCTCATCAGGCTTTACAATTACATAATAGAGTATAAGTCAGACACTTGAAACAATGTGGATCAATACAATCAAATACGGTCAAGGAGAACATAAGTATAATAATAATAAAACTACGAAGGTGAGATTAAAATACGCAACTATAACACAATATGATATTGATAATAAATGTTATCAGTACAAATGAAAACAATATTTAGCTATCTGGTGTCACCGAGAGAGATAACTGTTCTAGGTTGAGGTTGAAGGTCATGTGAGGAAGAGGAATTGTACAAACTCTTTCTAAATACAAACACTGGACTGAAAAGCTTTTATGGCAACCGCTTCAGAGCTACGCTTAGCAACCGAAGGCGGAATTTTCATTAACCTTGTGATCCGTATCCACAAGGTCTGCAAATATGGAACTCCTGGATGACTTTACGACTCCTTTGCCTAACCGCTCAATAAAAACGACGGTGGGTTACCCGAGTTGTTACACCTATGTAACTTGCCTCTATTATAACAGTTAAATCTATAAATGCACACTGAAGTGAACAGATTCAGTAGTTTATCCTTTACCTGCACTGGAATTATACAATGAGCTGTGAATTTCAAACAGTGTCGCAGCAAAGAATGTTTTAGCTCTTATTTTTTTGGAGTTTTGATGCCAGAAATTCAATGACTGTGTTCCTTTCGAACAGTAAAGTCATATATACGTTTCTTCTGCGCAGTTTGCAAGCATTTCTTCTGTATTTTTCCTCATTATGAAGAATTCAACAAATTTTTCCTGATATCCGTTCTCATATGATACGTTTACTGTTTCCCTTATTTAACCGTCAAGAGTGTCGGCTGTGTAGACTTTTCCAGCACAAAAAGAGACTCTTCGCCGAAATGTTCGTCCTTATTTCCAATTTACTTTTGAGCATTTGAAGGCCAGAATAGTTATTCCTTAGTTACCAATCAGTGTTTCGATAAGAGACCTACGAGACGTCAGTCATGGTCTAAATAACTACGTGTTGACATCTCTGATCATAAAAATGAGTAGTGCAGGTTCGCGACTTACGGAAGACATCAGTTTCTATGGGATTCCACAATGTATCACGATTGTGAATCACCTAGCTTATTATCATTGTTTCCTTTGGTTCCTAGAGGAACATAAGGCTTCAGCCGCACGTCTCCATTGCGTTCGGTTCTCTGCTAGAGTTTTCACCTGACTACAAGTTTGCCCACACGCTTTCATCTCCTCCTCACATAACCTCCTCCAAGTCACCCTTACGCTGACGACCAACTCGCCGCTTCCCTTTAGTGTTCCACTCGAGCGATGGCTTGTCTAGTGATGTCATTTGATGGTTTCCTAGGTGTATGGCCAATCCATCTCCATTTCTTCCTGCCTATTTGTTTCACAATCGGTTCCTGATTGGTTCGCTCATTGCCAGAGATCCCTGTTGCTGATCTTTCCTGACCGGCCATCTGATCTTGAGTACTGAGAGAAGACACCTGTTGATGAAGATCTGTAGTTTGTCTGATGTGCTCTTCATGACGCGCCAAGTCTCTGATCCGTATAGCAGCACTGACTGACTTCACATTGGAGTTGAAAATCTGGATCTTATTTTTGATGCTAAGTACTGTTGACCTGAACACAGACTTAAGAGTAATGAAATCTTGTCTTGGTTTTCCGATTCTTGCTTTGATATCCTCATCAGTTCTATCTGCCTGTAATTGAACCGATGCTTCACAGGTAGTTAAAGGAGGTTGTTTCTTTCAGGTCCCTCCCATTTATGCTGGCTGATTGTTGTTGTTGTTGCTCTTGATGTTGGCGAGGAATCTTCATCACCTCTGTTTTATCTATGTTCACTTGAAGTCATATCTTTGATGCTTCTTCTGCCAACTTGTTGCTTTTCAATTTAATATCTTCGAGTTTGTGGGAAATCAGACATATATCATCGGCGAAGTCCAGATCCTCCAAGTCTTTTGTGTGAGTCCATTTTATGCCTGTTCCCTCGTTGGTTGCCGTTGTCTGTCGCATTATCCAATCTACTGCAATCAGGAAGATCATTGGTGATAGTAGACAGCCTTGTCGCACTCCCGTCCTCACTTCGAAGAATTCCGTAAGTTTCCCGTTGTGGATTACTTGGCATGCAGCATTGTCGTACAACTGTTGGATGAGATGTATAACTGTCGATGGCACCCATTGGTAGTAGCGAAGTAGTTGCCAAACCACCTCTTGATCGACGCTGTCGAAGGCCCATTCAAAGTCGATGAAGTTGAGATAGAGAGGTGACTGCCATTCCAAGCTTTGTTCAATAATGATGCGTAGTGTGGCGATTTGATCAAAACACGACTTGTTTCTCCTAAGTCAAGCTTGTTCCGGTTGAAGTTTTTCATCAAGGGCTTGTTTGATTCTCTCCAGGATGATGTGGCTTAGTATTTTGTTTGGGACAGACAGGAGTAGAATGTCGCCACAGTTCTTGCGTTGACTTAAGTCCCTTTTCTTTGGCAATTCGAATAAGTATCCTTTCCTCCAATCCTAGGTTACTTTGCGCTCTTTTCACACCTTCTGTAGCAATGGCGTCATCAAGTCCGCTGTTGTCTCTGGGTCCATTTTCAATGCTTCTGCTGGAATTCCATCTGGTCCTGCTGCTTTCCCAGCTTTTAGCATCTTGATTGCCTTCAGGATTTCTGTTCTCGTCGGGGAGTCGATGTTCACTGGTAGTTCTGCTTCCGTTGTTGGTATTGTTGGGCGCGTTGTAGGTGGCGGTCGATTTAGTAGTCTTTTGAAGTGTTCAGCCCAGTGTTTTCTCTGTTCCACCTCTTTGGTGATTGACTTTCTATTGTCATTCTTTACTGGCTTAATTTGTGTCGAACTTTTACCCTAGAGGTGCCTAGTTGTTTGGTAGAGTGTGGCGAGGTCTCCTTTGCCTGCACTGCAGCTTGTTCCGCTTCGTTTGTCATGGTTTCATAATATTTTCTTTTGTCTTCCCTGGCGCTCTTCTTCATTCTTTTGTTCAGTGTATTGTAGCTTGCATTCAACTCGTGCAAGCTTTTTGGTCCATATTACGAACTTGCATGGAATTTAAGTCATTGATATAAGTATAAAACTTAGGCACTGTGGTAGAGCATAGCTCCATTTCGGATAAGACTTTATTTTGATAAATCACACAGTGTTGTACAGTAATATTAACTGATGACGTTTTGAGCACAAATTATTGCTGATAATCATATCAAGTTACTCACACAACTTTTTCCTTCATTTATATACATGTGTGGAATTTACTAGATATTTAAATAAAAACCAATATGTGATAATGTACATCCAGACATAATAATATGAGTGTTATTGATCAATTACAATCAGATGGGAAAAATAAGACGACTGTTTTTATAGTCATAATAAGTAACTTGTCAGCATGTTGTGATGTGTTTGAATTGAAGTAGAATTTTGAGATTATTTATTATCCTCTTCTGATTTGACTGACTGGTGGTAATAATATCTTCCATATTTCTGTTATTTGCATTGAGTCATTTCTGTTGCATGTGTTGGGTGTAGATTCGATGAACAAGGATTCAGTAATCAACCTCTCTCTCCACCTATCTAGATTACTTTTTAGAATTTTAACCCTCTCTTTGGCTAGGGGTCGCGCTATGTCGTGAATTGGCAGAAGTTAAAATTCATGGGCTGGCCATTTGATCGGGTCCCAGTGGCTTAATGGTAAACGAGCTCACCTTGTGACCAGAAGGTTCTGGGTTCGAACCCAGTTGGTGTGGGTGCGTACTGATGAAGAGTCCCAAACTAGTACGAAACGGTTGTCCAGTACTCCCTGGTTTTCCAATGGTTCTCTAACTAATGTCAGCTCATGATGAAATCCTGTTACCAATCAAATCCCTACAAACCAACACTTGAATAAACATAATTAGTTGAAGAGATGTTCTTGTATGAGAAGCCAAAGTGGCTATTATACAATAACGGAAGTAATTTCACACTAGTATCTGCTTAACTACGTCCTTCGTAGACCATATTAAAATACAGTCAAAAGGAATCTCTGTGAATTACCCGAGCATAACGACGCAAAAACACATATGGATTTGGACGATGAACAGCAAAGTCAATGGCAACCAGTAGACGACGTTCAGCTTCAATAAACTCATCTTTTGTATATGCATTGTCTGTTATGTACATAAATTCATTCAGATGAGGCATTTGACGTTCTTCGTGTTTACACGCAACCATGATTGCTGCACACGCCATCAGTTGAATTTCACGTCTAAAAAAGTAAAATGGAATTAATAATATACATAGGCTTTCGCGAGAGAAAAAAGTGCAATAATTAAACGATAAACTAAGTAAATTCAAGCTACCTTGAAGTTATTCTCCACACGTAATGAAAGTTGTTTTCGAGCCTGTTACGAGGTGATCAACGTACTTATAACAGTGGATTTAGGGAGATGGCCACTTCAACTTAAAACGTTAGCTAGAAAGGTGACTGCAGGACAAGTAAGTTTGCATAGTTTGAGTACAGGTTAAAAATCGCTTTGAAGGAGCTAATCCCCATCCAGGCATAACTAAAAGCTAAACACGTAGATCAGCGAAGAGTCTCTTTTCGGCGAATTCATTTTCTTAACTGTACAATCGCAAATATATATGTGTTATTTTGTATATATGTGTACATTGTACTCAGGTCCAGTTTGAAAATCTAATCAGCCAAACGAACGATCTCATCCCAACTTCTGAAGACGAGTTACAGAGATTCAAGTCAACAATCACGGACTGCTGCCACCAATACTTGAATACAAAAATCAAAAGTCCGCAACCATCTAACAAGTGGCACCGAGAAGAATTAAAACAGTTGAGAGATAACAAAGATCTGTTAATAACTCGCCCCGACAAGGATGCTGGTGTAGTGCTTCTGAATCGAAAAGACTACATCGAGAAAATGAACGGCGTACTGTCGAATGAAGATAAATTTTCCCAGCCTTCCAAAGAAAGAAACAAAACGGAACAGATTGAGAAGCAGCTCAGACGTCTTGAAGAGAATGAAAACCAGTCAACTAATCAGTGGGGATATCTATGACCAGACCTGACCAACAGGTTTAATAACACCAAGGCTTTATGGTCTACCAAAGGTACTCAAGGTTGGTCTCCCACTTCGTCCAATTCTGGATATGTCAGGTTCCCCTTACCACTCTATTGCAAAATGGCTAGCAGATATTCTGGAACCTGTAAGGAAACAATTGTGTACGCACTCGCTCCGTGACACCTTTTTCATCGACTGCATACAAGACCCGAATGTATCTAACAAAAGTATGCTGTCCCTCGACATTGGGTCACTTATCAACAATGTCCCACGCACGGAAACGGTCAGCTTCATATGCAAATATATAGATAACAACCATCTCAATATTGCAATACCAAAAACATATTTCAAGGAATTACTGTTGAGATACACTCTGAACGTCAAGTTCACATTCAACGACACCACCTATAGACAAAAAGATGGTATTGCAATGGGACCCCCGTTGGGTCGACTACTATCAGACTGCTTCGTGGCAAGCCTAGAGAGAGGTCCACTAAAGCCAAGCATTGACAATTTGCAACTGTATAAAAGATACGTGGACGACATTTTCATTATTTGTGACAAAAACAATGACCCCAATCTGCTGCTGAAGACATTTAACTGTTGCCATCCAGCAATAAAATTCACTCTTGAAATGGAAAACGAGTCAAAAATAACGTTTCTTGATGTGGAACTAACAAGGAGACCTGATGGGAGCCTAAGAAGGTCGATCCATAGAAAACCAACGTGGAATGGTCAACTAACAAGCTTCTGTAGCTGGGTACCCATTCAACAAAAGCGAATTGAATTAAATCACTTGCCACCCGCATCCGACGCATCTGTAGTCCCAACGTTCTGAAAACAGAATTAGATATTTTGAGAGAAATCTTCATCCAAAATGGATACCCAATACAATTCATCGACAAAAATATCAAACCAAGAATTTGGAGAAATGAAACTTCACTTGAGCCTAAAAAGAAACTCTACAGGAACTTCGATTACAAGGGATTTAACAAGCGGTATTCTCAAGAGAAGGATCACATCATCTCTAAGAACATTCCTTGCAGTAACGCTAAGAATAGCGTTCTCCAGTCGCCCACTGAATCTGCAGAAGCCTCAAGGATAAGATCCCGCATATGACCACTTCTATTTGCATATTGAGTTCACCTGCTGCTGTGGAGCCAGGTACATCGGTCGTTCGACGCGCACCCTGTCCAAGAGGATTCAAGACCACTACCCAGCATGGTTACGAAAAGGCAGTAGTGGTGCAAAAAGAAGTGCGATAATTGAACACCTGGTTAACACTGATCATTGCATTTCAACAAACGCCTCCTCCAAAGTAATCTACAGAGCCAAGAATAACCTATCAAAGGCAATATGCTTCGTCTTCTTCGTTTTGCTGAAGCTCTGGCCATTCACATAGAAAAACCGGAGCTGTGCATACAAGAGAGGATTACTCAACCACTTTTACTGTCATTGTAACAACTTTTTTCTTATTTGATTGATTTTTTTTATTTTGATGACTTAATTTTGTTCCTTTGCCTGTTCTTTAATTGCTTATAATTCTTGTATTCATTTAGAACTCTTACGTAATTTCGTATTCGCTACTTTGTTTTTATATGCATCCTGAGTAAAACTCACTCATCAAACTATTCATATTATAACGTAACTGCCTTTTAACAACTGTTTGTGACAACTCATCACCTTTGTTACTACCCTAATTTCATTAACACCTAATTTTCTTGACTTGTATTACCGATATCTTCATCTGTTTAATTAAAATAACCACAACCAATTGTAATTTTGTTTGACAAACATACACATACATACAAAATAACAATATATATTTGCGAATGTACAGCTAAGAAAATGAATTCGCCGACTTTTCGTGATCTACGTGTTTTGTTTTCATTAAAACTCTATTAGTGCCCTATCCCATATGAAATCATGAACGAGTCAATCTCAACTTATTTCGTACCATGACAGATATCTCTATTTTTATCACACAGCACAGCTAACCAGATTTAGTGGATACTTATTATTAGATATTGTGTGTCATCGGTTCAACGGTAGAGTGTTCACCAACAATGTACCTGGTCTATGGTTCGATTCCCAACCCCTAACCGGCTGTTAGTCGACAAAGAGGGAAGGTTAGGGGTGAGGCTGGCATTGCATCCCATAAAAAACAAACACTACATGTCACTGAGACGTCAAAGTGCAAGCTTGAAGCCCTATTTTTCACTTGGGGTGCAAAGTGATGCAAATATTTTTTAAACATTTATCAGATAAATAACCCGTTGACATCAAACTAAGAATAATCCACTTACTATAGATCCTTTATTCAGTATGGACTTACAATCACTTTTTGTAAAATATAGCATTTAGCAAATTTAGTAGTAACTGAAAACAAATATCCAAAGGATGAGGGCTTTCAATTTCCTCAGGACGTACCTGCACTTTATTTGTTTCCCTTAAAACCATAGAATTCACTCAAATCTATGAATTGACTCAATGCAACACACTATTTATTATGAAAACAACTCGAATTATATAAAGCTGCAACAGTTAACTAGTTTTCATTCCTTGCTTCCCGAATAGAATATATATATATATTCAAGGCTTTGATGTTGTATTTACAAGGGGCGGTTGATATACATCACGCCCAACCTCTACGGGCTTACTACCGCCTAGGTGAGGTTCAAGGTACGGGCCTCCTAAATGACTGGCAAGCATCATACCATTGAACTACCGATGCCTCGATATCGAATTAAATATATTTGAGCAAGACTAATTCTATTACTTCAGTAATATACATTCAAGTAAAACTACAATAAATGCAAAATAGGAGAAAATCACCACATAACTCAGTTAACACAAGTGCAAATAAATTAATTACCGAGCAAGCGCTTTACCACGATCCAAAAATGCATACAACAGACCCCAAGCTAAGTGTATTGTTTCATGGTTTAGTGCAAAATTCTCTTGTACTTCGACCAACCAATCGGCCAATGTTGTTAACATATCAGCATTGAGATTAGGTTGTTTACCAGAGGCCAAAAAATCACCCACTTGAAAACACTCCTATAATATTATCATTATTGATTGAAGTGTAAACATTTAATAATGCACAACATAGAAAGAAATATATTAAACCATGAGTTATATAACATTGATAATCATGTAGAAACAACAACCAATCTTCAAATCAATTGAATCCTTATGAAACCAAGATAGATTCATTATCTGATATTAGGTAACATTGACAGTTGTGAAAACTAAAAATAGACGAGGTCATTTACCGACATTATCTTGTTGTTTCTCAAGTATTGTGTATTTTCACTCGACAATCATTAGAAGAACTAATTAACACAGCCTCATATTAGTAGGTCCAAGAATTTTGATTATATTCGCTAAAAGATGCATATCAATCAGTCAGCCACCACAGGTCAACCACGAGCTTGATTACCTCAGTGGTAACGTCTCTGACTGCAGCACTAGATGACCCGGGTTCGAACCTCTAAAGGAATATCAGTTGTTCCAATATTGCAGATATGCCTTCTGACGAGTATCAACAAGCAGGAAACCTAGGCTTGCCTACTGCCCCCGACCATAACAATATCAATCACTAAATTATCTGGATGTTTCGCTACTACAGCAACAACAACAGGAAAAAAACATAACAGGAAACCTTGGTATTAATCATTATTAAGGTATCTCTACTAGGTGTACAGCGTCCCACCTCGTGTTAGATGATCGATGATACTGATTAATCATCAAACATAACCTAAACTTTTACATTACAAAACGCCTTATTAAAATGAGAAATCCAACAGCTGAATTTTACGCCCACTGTTAACTACTGTATTATGTATGACGTCATGATTCCACATATCTTCATCATTATTCTCATATTTCTTTACATTGTTCTATGAATCACATTGCAGAGTCAAAAGGACAAGTAATCGATATAAATTGAGGATAACAAGTGAAGATAAATTTCATTACAATAAAGGTTTTTTTTATTTCCCAATGAATGAAATGAACCTATATTATAATGAATAGCATATGCCAATGCCCAAATTTTTTCAAACCGTTAAAAGTGGACTTGGTTGGGACATATAGAAGATAAATTTCGATAAAGAAAGGAAGACGAAATTTGCAGTATAAAATGATATCATTCCATCTCACAGGTTCTCATCATCTGTAGACTACCTGAAATTACTATGGTTTTATAGATGATAATAACATACTTTAATGCTTGAGTGGTAGTAGACAAGAGATACTATAAAATTGACGCATCTAAATGAAAGCATTACAATATTTAGTTTAAGTTTTTATCATCAATTTATACGCTTTTAAAGTTGAAAAGTGGAAGGGGAAGGGGAAAGACAGAAAACAGAAAAAATAAAAAAACAGTGTTAGCTTGTAGGTTCACATAGCAACTCAAAAAACAAAAGCGGTTGCAGTTTATAAGATTGAGATTTGCTCATTGAGCTGAGATCACTAAATTAGATAACTAATTATTGTAATCAAAATCAAAATTCAGTTACCAGGGGAGTGAGAGGCTAATCACACTCTCTTTCTGTATGCATAAGTCTGGTTTGAATCGTTTGTTTGCGATCGGTTCGGCAAATCGTAGTAAATTTACTGTCCTTTGTCTATTTTATATTCTGAAGGACTTAGAAATCTCTACGAGATGACCGGTATCAACAATATGTCTGATAACTGCACTCTGAGAATATTTGCTTCCTTTCAGACACAGGTTTCTTGGAATATGTTCAGAAAACCGAATAGAAACCCTTATTTCTGTGCTTCCAATGTACTTGCTCCCGCAAATGCACGTAAATTCATAAACGCAGTTGGATGTGACATCAGCAGGGTATTTATCCAGTTTTGAGTGGCTTATAGAAGAAGAGGTGCTGTATAGTGCTATGAGTTTTGCTGCTTCTTTTTATTGCACCTTTCAGTCTTTTTGTCCATCTTTTGTGACACTGCATCTCCTTTGAATGGGAGACAAATAAACATTTTTTTCTTTTTTACAGTTGGGTGTTTTTCTTTCTTATCTTTTTCTCTGCTGTACTTCTGTATAAATCCCTTAGGGTATCCATTTTCTTTTCGGCATTTCTAGACGAAATCTAATTCTTCTTCGACCTTGTTTGGTGAACATAGCTTCTGGCTCTGTCATACAAAGTCCTCACTAATCCACGTTATAGCTTATGGGACAAAAGCTGTTATAGTGAAGATGTTGCCCAGTCCAGGTTTCTTTTCTATAGATGGACTTTTCGATCGTGCTTTCATTTGTTCTTTTAACATTTAAATCCAAGAAATTGAACGCATTATTATGATCATATTCCATGGTGAATTTGATGTTTAGATGCGTCTCATTTAGGCGATCATATAATGCCGATGCGTCATTTTCGTTGCAAACAACAAATGTGTCATCAACATATCGGCGATAGTAGGTTGTTCCATAGATAGCAGACACAACTAAGTTCTGCTGTGAAATAGAATATCATTTTATACTGCAAATTTCGTCTTCCTTTCTTTATCGAAATTTATCAAGGGAACCAAATGTATGAAGATAAATTATTGGTAATAAAGAATGAAGAAACCAAAAGGTTCAGAAAAGGTTTCAATACTCTAATCAACGTAAAAATGTTATGTATACGATCACAGAATGTGTTCCAAAAGCAAATGGACGAGTGATTTTCGAAACTTTTAAATGAACACTGAAGACATAGAACGAATCGAATGCTGCTCTTCTAATATGTGTACAAAACAAATTCGAAAAAAATAAGGAAATCCGTTAGCAAGCAGTCAATGAATACATAAAATACCAGCTCTCTGAATCCCATTGAGAAATTCCAACCAAATCATTTTCACCTCAGAATTTAGGTTTTTCCACACAATAATTCCGTGTCAATCAGGTGTTTGGCGATTGACACAGGACACCGAGTAGATGTGCTGGAATCATTCAAATTAATTAACAGACAAAGTACCTCAAGTCTTCTCAGGTTTGCTGAAGCCATAGCAATAAAACGATTGAAGCCTGATTTATGAGTCCAAAAAGAATCCGTTGTTGGACTTCAATTACCATGGTGATTCACTTCTTAGTAACTCTTTGTTTTCTAATTTTGTTAACTTATCTTTTTACTCTATCCCCCCCCCGTTTATTTTTCGCTTGACTCTCTTAAGAGATACTTTTTCTTGATCTTCTGAGTTCTGCTCACTGTATTACATCAACTTCTCATCTGACCTCATGTGCACCGAAATTGTAAAGTTTTGATCTTCTCTTATCTAATTATGTAACTATTGCTAATTTTCTTTTGTTACCACCCCAACAACACAACTGTTAATAAATTTTATTCAAGAAACATATCTCTACAGATATACATATATATATGTGTCGTAACACTTTAGACACCCTGTAAATCTTAACGCCTTATTTTACTGTGACGCTTTGAGAGTATGTTTGCTGATGGACAAAGGTTTGTTAAAATTGTACACTTTATTTTTATTAAAAAATTCAGGTTGTACGCAGCTGATGAGAACCAACGAAATAAAATGCATCCAGATTTTTCTGCACCAATGTTTCTTCTTTCTTTGTTCAAATTTAGGCATTCTCTGAATCTAAACAACGGGTATTAACATTGCCTCAGAATGAGATCAGTGGCCAATAATCCCCAATAAAAATAATGGATAGACAGACATTTTTTAAATATTTTCCTATCAGAGGGACAACCTGGAGATAGAAGAATATCACAGCTACTTACTTTTTCTTAAAGTGTAGTTTAGCAACAATCAAAAATATTTGGTTGATAAGTCATACAGTTTTACCAAGCATCTATTCTCACATAGTGGCAAGATATACATAATACATGAAAAACATCAATACAAATCAAACACATGCAAGTGCGCATATTCTTACTTTAGTTTCCCTTGTCTGTTCATAAGCCATAATGCCAACAATATAATCTGTAGCTTCCATCATACGATCCACTGGTGAGCGATCCAATGCAGATATAGCAAAATCAGCTCTTCTACATTCGGCTAGCAGTTCTTCTAATTGTACACGATCAGCAAATGCAGCTCGAACAATATCACATGCCAGCTAAAAAGTGGAGTACAAAGGTATACAGAAGACTGTGTATTATATTGATGAAAAAGTATGTTAAGAATACAAGGGTATAAGGATTTCATCATGAGCTGACATTAGTTACAGAACCATTGAAAAACCTGGGAGTACTGAACAGCTGTTTCGTCCTAGTTTGGGACTCTTCAGCAGTATGCACCCACCGGGATTCAGTATACAAGGGTATTACAGTTAAAATGCTGGACATAAAGTCGAGAAGGGGAGAAGATGTGGGCTCAGATTATCGTTATAGTTCAGAGGAACTTCAAGGTAAAGCTGAAATCCTTCAGAAACGCTGGAGACAGGCCAGTGTAATTCAACTTCAACATTCAGAACCTAAATGACAAAACCACAAGGGATACCTTCACTACAGAACATATCAGAGCAAAGTCGGATACACAAGGTGCTATCACCGAGGAAACCTGCATGGAAGAACATTGGGACTAACTCTCTGAAGGTGATGTTTAATGAGCCTTGTACAACTGTTACAGGAAGAAAGAAGAGACACGACAAGGAATGGATGGCTCTTAAGGGATACCTACCTGAAAGCTATCAGAAGAGAAGAGAGCAGCATGCTGAAACAGATGACTCAATGCAAAAATGGACGACAGAAGGAGAAGCTGAGTTCAATTTACACTGCATCGCACTGAATAAGGAAGTGAAGAAGAGTGTTAGGGAATACAAAAGACAATTCTACGACACACTGACTGGCGGTAACTGAAGAAGAACAGGCAGGCTGCAGGTAGAAGAGATCTCAGAACATTATATCAGATAAACAGGTCTCTATCCGCGAAGAGATTAACCCAGATGATGAAACCAATAAAAGATGTTCTAGGAAACCTGATTACGAAGGAGGAGAAACAAATTAAACAGTGGGCTGACCACCTAAAAGGACTCCTGAATCGACCATCACCATCATCTGGAACTCGCTCAGAGGTACACCACCAACAACGGCACACACAGAACTGCCTGCCAGTGGACAGCAATCTCCCAAACAAATCAGAAATCATGAGTGCGATCAAGCTACTGAAGTCCAGTTATGAAGGCTGCGGGATCAGACGGAATCCCCCCAAATGCGAAGCACTGGAGACGAACCCAGTGACTACGGCAGATGCTGTCACGCAATTACTGCAAAAGGTTTGGAGAGAAGAAAAGATACCTACTGATTGAAAGAAAGTTTGGCTACCTTTTCAAGCTGCCAAAGAGCGACTTAAGCCTGTGCAAGAACTGGAGTGGAATAGTGCTCCTGTTCACGCCAAGTAAAATATCAAATCACATCATCCTGGAGAGAATAAAGGATGCACAGAATACAGAACTTCGCCACCCACCGGAACAAGGTGAATTCAGGAAAAGCAAATCATGTGCTGATCAAATTGCAACTCTATGCATCACCATCGAACAAAGCATAGAACGGCAGCCAAACCTCTACCTCAACAACTTCATCGACTTCAAAAAGGCCTTTGACAGAGAGCGTTGACCGATAGGTAATTTGGAAACTACTTCAACACTACGGCGTTCGGTGATTCAAGTCTTTATCAAATTCATTCAACAGCTGGCTATATGACAAAGCCACCTGTGCGGTGATCCACAACAGGAAACTCAGCCAGGCGTTGGAAGTGAACACAGGAGTAAGGCAAGGTTGTGTATTGTCACCGATGATATTCTTAATTGTAGTGGACTGGATTATGCGTCAGACTGTGCACAGGGAGTGAGAAGATAGGAATGTGTTGGACCGATAAGATGATTCTAGGAGATCTGAATTTCACAGATGATATACGTTCAGTGTCACACAAACTCCAAGACGTGCATGCGAAAACCAACAGACTGACTGAATAAGCTGGCAGTGAAAACGGGACTCCACGTGAACACAGAGAAGATGAAGGTGATGAGGATAACCAACAACAACAACAACGAGTAACAATCATCATCAACGGGAGAGATTTTACTTCCTTCACTTATCTAGGGAGGAACCATTGTTTCAACAACACGCGCGCGGAACGGATGGAGATGTCGAAACCAGTCAGAATCGAAAAGCAAGATACACATTAATCAACCAATAACCAGTTTGAGAGTCTTCTGCACTCCACGGCATAAACAACAAGATGCGGATATCCAGTTGGTCCTTTTATGCGCATCAGAAACTTGACTGGTCACGAAAAGGATTTCCAATAGGTTGCAGACATTTATCAACAGTTGTCTTAGCTGGCTCCATACTGAAGATCAAATGGCCAGAAAGAATTAGCAACAAAAAACTCTGCAGTGCAACGAACCAACCAGGTGCCGACCACTCAACACATATGTAGGAGAAAATGGAGATGGATCAGACATACGTTGAGGAGGCCATCGAATGTCATAGCGCTCCAGGCCCTGGAATGAAATCCCAATGGTAGGTGATGAGTGGTTTGTCGATGCGAGCGTGACATGAAGATGGGAGATTATGGGCGATCGTGGACGAAGCTGAAGAGGAGGGCAGAAAATAGAAGAAAGTGGAGATATGCTGTTTGAAGCCCTATGTTCAACACGGAAGTCAAGGGAATAATAAAAACAAATAATAAGAATTTGCATATTTAGACAAAAATAACACTCTACCAGGAAATTGCCTTGTTTTTATTACATTCTGCTTGAGATATAAGCAGCTTGAACTGAAATGGAGTCACGTTAGTTCCCGTGTTTGTCTCGGTCTATTAAAACACCATCCATCTAGTATGAATGAATATAACAGAAGGATGATAGTGAGAAGTGAAAAAGGCCCAGTTTATTGTGATTGAATTAGAGATATAATGACTTAGATAAATATGCAACTGAATTGTAGATAAATGCTTAAAAATTGCAAAGTAAACGAGACACAAAATACTCACTTTGGATTTAAACGGTCTTCTGTCAACTTCTGAATCGTCAACATCTGAAATGGATGCTTCACTTTGTGTGGATTCACAATCATCAATGCGAGGACGTTTGCACAGTGGTATCTGTTCATCTTCCGATGGTTTGAGGCATAAAACCGACTGAGTTAGAGAATGAGATGTAAGTTTGGATTGTTCAAGAGCTGACGCTGAATGTGTACTACTGTAACCGCTATCACTACTTGATGCTGAACCTATATCTATCTGACTGAATGTACATAATGTGGTTGAAGATGCTGATAAATATTCCGCTTCTGTGTTTACAAGTTTGGCATTTTTATTGCGAAGTGCTGTTAACGTAATAACAAAAGAATGGATAACTCTCAAAATAGAATTAAGGGAGAGCGGTGAAGAAACAAAATTACAATGTTAACAACTCACATAAAATCCCCAGATAATTTGAGATATCATACGGAATATAAAAAGTTAAAACTATTTAAGAATGCAAAATCAAGTGAATCCATAATATCACAATTAGTTTAGAGGAGGTAAACACGCATACTCAACATAAGACTTAAAGTGAAAATGAATTAGACTAAGTTGCAACGCTTCACAACAATAAACAAGAAGTGAAAAGAAATAACGAAAATGACAACAAAGGAAGTAACAATATATGCCTTGGTTACAATTCTCGGATTTTCGAGAGGTATATTTTGAGCTAAATACCTCCAGAGGTTAGGTTCTAATACCTTCAAAGAACTTAAGCCTACCCAATTGATATGGTCGAAAATTCCTAGGATTAGCAAAATACCATGGTCGTGTCATCATCGAACTATTTCCAACATAGCCTCAAGCTTTTCGCAATCACTAAAGATTTATGATCTCAACGACTAACCTTCTAAAAGTGCTGGGTATCTAACTTCAACACTGATAACTTTGTAGTTTCACTACACCGTGCAATGCTACGAAGACACAATCGGAAAATTACAGCCCCATATTCTTATCGTTAACAATTATATCTCACAAAATCCGCAATAAATTTGTCTTTTGATAGGCAGTCAACCTAATTCCTCTCTGTGCCTACACTACAAGTGTGACTAGTCATTTTTAATATACATGAAATGTTTAATGATCATTCTCAACCAAAAAAATGAAGCTGTATAAGCAACACCATTTAGCAGTATTATATTATCTAAGTGAAATAAATGCTCTTCAAACAAAACACGGGAATCTGAGTAAAATGAGGGTAACCACTCAGTACACTTATGAGCGATGGCAGTTCACTTTGGAGAATAAAGAATATACTTTGCGAACTTCAACCCAGAAGCTTTTATACTGTTTATTAACTGTTAAGTTTATGAATCATTGCGAGTAATTGTCACTCATCAACTACAGGTATTTTAGTACACACTGGCTAGTGTAACACATTTTCCAAAGATATGGAACAGACTTATAATATTTCAATTGGTAAACCATAGCTTTACTTCTTGTATACATGGAGGAGTCAGTGTTTATTGCACGATGATTCTAGACTGGTTAGGCTAAATGGCATTAATTTATGACATGGTATCTCCAGAGTAACAATAGTCAAGAGTTGACAAAGATCGTTCATTCAGCAACAATATATTAATATCCATTAATAATCTCTTCAGTTAGGCAAAAAAACTGATAAGTATTGGTCTAACAGTGATACCTTCTTTACCACTCCCGCTTTTATCAGTCACAGTTGTTTAAAGCCGTTATGAACCCTTAACAATTTCATCACTACGATATTTGGCTCCTTAGTATGATGGAAGTCAGAGTGACTGACTGACAAAATTATCAACGAAAAGCTTTGTACAAAACTGCATCATTCCAATTAGTCACACTTCTGGGCAAATAAAGTAGGGAAATATGATGAAATTATAAAGAACAAAGACGTACAGGAAAAAGGATGACAGAATGCGATGGCAACAGTGCAGTCTTTAGAAAGATCTTAGCAAAACTCAGTAACACATATGACATGAAATCTGCATTTGCTACACGACTGATTGGCTTCAGTGATTTAGGAAGTTAAATCAAAAATCTACGCAAACACAAAGACATTGGGACTCTGTAACTTTCGTCATAAAAGGGTTCAAGTACTTTGCGACGACCCACCTTGTCCAGCGGTGCCACTGAGAGAAGATATGAAAAAAGTATACGTCTTTAACAATAAGTCCTCTTCCCACCACCCACGTTGGATAGAACAACTTGAAAAGTACTGATGAACCTAGATGTAGAGTAGTAGTTAATCCAATGGCTCAAATTGTGAAGCGCTATTGACTAAGATGGCTGGAGTATGTTAAGGATAATGAGTCGCCACCTTTCTCAATAAGCTTAGTTAAACTAGGTTTTAGCTGGAAGACATGAACAGCAGACCAAATATGGCCCTAATTTAGGAAGTCATATACAGATACAGAAGTCATAGTTGGGTTCCACGAGGTTTTAAGAATTGTTTGAGGTTTGTTGAAAATATTCGAAATTATCTGGAATAATGCACATGCATTTATTCATTGTCATTTTATAAGTTCTGAACATCACCAATATTCGTCATGTTATTTCTCCTTCCATCCATCTTTGACCATTATGGTACCATCATATTATTTTCTTTGCTTCTATGTGCTTCTTTAAAGTGGTGTCTCCAGCTGACACATTTTCATACGGAGCCTAACGTTATTTTATCGGATAGTTAGACATGATTACTATGAACAGTTCAATTTGTCAGAACTACTTCGACTCATGAATGGTAAATGCTACTGTACCGACAGTAATATAATTAGAGAGCAAGAGTAAAAAGTTGGCTAGGACCGGCAAAAGAAGAAATATTCATTTCCCAAAGTATAACATTCCTAACTGGTGATCTCAACATGAAAATTACTTGTGTCTTGAAAGCAGTTCACTGGGGTGACGATCACTATACTATTCAAAAATGTAATATTTCATATAAGTGCTTCGAACATTTCACGATACTCCTCTCTAGTCATCTGTACTACTCATTTCATAAGTAGATTGGCAGTGAGCAATTACCTCATAGACTTGCACCCTCCTCAAAGTGCGTACTGTGCACACCTCAGCACGGATACTGTAATTGATGCTTACAATAGTTGGCCTCTAGAAAGTTGGTAATTAGATCCAGACGAGTCACTCAATCAAGGTTGTGCAGGGGTGTTGTAGCACTGATTAAAAACAGATAGATGACATTACGCGTTAGGTGTGTAGGTAGTGGAACACACCAGTTGGTCTAAACGAATTGCACGAGCAGAGATGGATTTAGCTTCATTATTTCAAGTAAACTGAGATTGCTGCTCTGAACACCTTGAGCAGCAATCTCGTATGTTTGGCATGCGATTCGCCCCTACAAAATGTAAGATGCTGCTACAGGACTGGACCACGTCAACTCCTAGCTTAGTGATAGGGAGTGAAGTGATAGAACATGTTGACCACTTCACCTATTTGGGAAGTTGTATTAGCACCAACGGACTGATTGGCGATGAAATCTCAGCACGGATCCAAAAAGCTCGAGCTGCTTTCGCTAACTTACGCCATCTCTGGCGTAGACGTGACATCCGGTTATCAACCAAGGGACGTGTGTACTGCTCATCAGTTCGCTCCGTCCTTCTCTATTGCTCTGAAACATGGCCAATACGCGTTGAAGACATGAAAAGGTTGACTGCTTTCGATCATAGATGTCTGCGATCTCTTTCTCACGTTAGGTGGTTTAACAAGGTAAGTAATGTTGACGTTAGGCGTAGTGTTGGGCAAAGAGGGAAAATCAATCGACGAGGCTATAAAGTTACATAGATTGAGATGGCTAGGTCACGTGGTGCGCATGCCTAACCATCGCCTCCCCCGATGGGCATTGCTAGCTGATATAGGTGCAGGTTGGAAAAGAGCCAGTGATGGCCAAACAAAAACATAGCATCAATCCATGAAATCCTTGACAGTTAAACTGAGTCAGGTAGGGAGATGCATACTTCCGGGTTGGGGCCCTCGCGACTCTAGGAATCAATGGCTGGAGACAACAGGTGACATTGCTCAAAATCGTTGTCAATGGCGCAGATGTATTCAGTCTCTGTAATCTTTCATATTCCTTTCTACCATTACCCATTCTGTTTCACTCTTATACTTGTCAAACTCTATTGATTCTCTTCACTCATCTTGTCTACCTCTGTGTGCTATTTGGAACGTGGCAACTCGAACTGCTGCACTTCGGTGCCAAGTTCTATGTTGAATCCAGACAGACAGACAAACTGAGATAAGATAACCACACCAAAACAAACAGCCTGTTAATCTGTTACACGATAAAACAAGACCAGATTGAAGATTTGAGGTTGATATGAGTGAAATGGATTACAGTGCTGCAGCTGAGAGCTTAGTGGAATTAGAACTTAAAGCTTAACTATTCGTTCCAACTCGCAAACATTTATATTGCGTTTGAAAAAGAAACCAGCGTAGTTTCTTGACTGACTATATTTCCAAACGATGGGTTTCTGAAATTGTGAAAATATATCTCAGAGGTCTAAAATGTATACTTGAAGACCCAGAGGCACAATTAAGTAACATCTGATACTAGATAGGCATCGCAGTACATAATAAAACTTCCCCCTAACACTAAACTGAAACAGCTTCCCTTCAAAAAATACATGAAAACAGATGCGGAAACGATGCATATGATGAAAATCTTCTTCGAAACACGAAGTACGGAGGAATAATTATTAGGCTTCTACTTTTATATGAGGGAAATTTGGATAGACATTTTTCTTGATTATTGAAATGGCATCACCAAAAACCGAAGTAACCTTTCCGTTTCACAGATAATTCTATAATGAATATACATACAAAAAACAAATCAAGACAGTTCTGACGTCAAATCGCGATAGCACCATCAATACTTACCAGCAAATGGCTGCTTGCCTTTACATAACTGAGCTCCTGTTTCATTCTACGATAGATATACAGATAAATTGAGATAATATATTTACCCATGGTCTGTTCGTCAAGTTCCCAAGTACTGGACGTCCGGTTAAAAGGTTATCTGTGTCAGGTTTCAAGACACATTTGCGGAGTAGATTTCCCTGAGCAATTACATTCTCCAAATCTCTGAAGGAATCTCGACATCTTAGATCCATAACATGTAAACTGCCAGTAAGTTCAAATGGAGGTAATCCCCGATCCTAAGATCCTACTGAGTCAGGTTAGAAGTTCTGCTTAATTCTGAGGCCAATGAAAACCAAGACGGATAAAAAAGTGTCACAAAACTGGATTTGAAAACATGAGTGTCGCAGGTGACTTCCAAATCTCAAAAGTGGCGGTGACTTGGTAAATAAGCTATGCTGAGTATAGTAAACAAAACTACAGTCAACTCAGAATAGTGATACGTGTCTGCAAAAAAGGTGCCAAGAAACTCTCTCAAAACAGTTAGGAAAGGCCTTCTGTTTCATAATACTTCGTGAGTGAAATTTTTCTAGGTCAGCATATGCAATAAGGATGCAGATATCGAATTAAGACTTTTGTTGGAGGCACATAGGTTAAAGAATATCTCCTTCTATTTCTTCCTAGTGTCTTTGCTTATTAAACCCCTCCTTAAAGGAAGTGACTTAGTAATCAGATATCATTTCTTCTAGCATTCGGCAGATGAGCCATAACAGGGACCACAGCTGTTGACTTGATTTAGACTCTTTTTGTAAAATATGCTCTGATTTGCGAGAACCGGCCATTGTATGACAATATATGGTAGCGTCTACATCATCAGTTACTATGATACTTAGACCCCTCTGGGCCTAATCTCAGGAGAGTGGTGATCGTTCTATGTCCTACACACTGGCACTTATGTGATCGATACATTTGCTCGCATGCGTCACTAAGTAGACGAAAAAAACCCAATCTTTGGACATATCTAGCAGGTAGTTGAAGTCTGTATGTGGCGTGGACCTGTCGCTATGGTCCTCAATGTATGCAACAAAGATGCCACCAATCTTAGACTAAAACTCATTCAACCGGAACATGGAGATTATCTGGATTAGACCTCAATACTAATATGCCTTGAATTAGACTTTCTAGATTCGTGTGACGGAAACAAGGTAAGATAGTGATGCGTACTGTTAAAAAACATGAACCTAAGGCAAGCACTGGGAAGGACGGAAGGATTCGGAGGCTGCAGTCTAAAAATTCGAACTGGGAATAATACCAGTGAAAATCGGAGTTTCCGCCATGCAATCCTTTTAGTACGCGTGGCAAAACAGAGCACGAAATAATCAATAATTTGTGACTGTACTAATGCGTTTTTCCAGTTGAAATGAATTCACACATCAAAAGTAGGACAAAAGCGGCCTATAATATCTGCAAACGCTGCGCTCAGGGCTGGAACCTAAGACTTGATTTCTGGGACAAAAGCAAACTAAATATATTTGGCGGACAGACGAATAGTCTGAATAAGTGGTCTACACTGTCCTACTAGACATAAACTATGACCCCTAATTGAAAAACCGAGAGGGCTGTTTGAATTATCGACGCCATCTTGATGGATGACCCGTGTTTCAACCTCTTTAACCGTTTTACTCGTCCTTAGGTATCTATGGGGGGACATCATAGCAGATCAGTGTCTAATTAACCAGTGGTTCTAAAGGGTCCTCACAACACGGGAAGCTGCGGAAACTCATAGGTAGCAAGTTATTAGGTGATTCAGAAGGATGAGGCAAGTGATCGAGTAGAACCTATTTCTTAATTATCCGTGAGGTTGCTTTTATCTATTGAATGATAAATGCCCTTCCGTTTGGTTGACTGGGTAGCCCGACTTCAAATGTCCTCTGTTGTGCTCTGGAAAATAAAAGCCTATTATTAACATTGGTCCTCTTCTACTCTTTTCGCTAGAAAAGTCACTTTCTAAATTGGAGATCCTTTTGCGTCCATATTCCCCCCCCCATTTTGTTCGGGTTGACCATAGTCAGTTAGGCCTCGTGGTATAGCGGTTAGCAATCTGGACTCTGAATCCAGCGACCCGAGTTCGAGTCTCGGCGAGGTCTCCAGCTAAGCACTTTGTGCGTCGGTGGCGTAGCGGTGAGGACGCTCACCAGTCATGCATACGGTCCGGGTTCGATCCCCCGACCGGCGTTCTCCTTTAACTCGCTAAGCCAGAAATAATGTTGGTAAAGAGGAAAGATTGGGCATGAAACCAGCAACCCCATCCTGTAAAATAATCTCTACTTTGGAAACCTCAAGCCACTAGCTTCAAGCCCTATGTCCCACTGGAGAACGTGAGGGAAAAATAATTATAATTATAATCATTAAAAGAGTTAAGTCACCACTATACACAATGCTGAAGTGCAAGGTGACAAAACGCCTCATGTTTCAGAAAATCAGAGGAAGCAGCGGCTGTTAAAAGAAGAGATCATGGGAGACATCCGCATTACAGCCTTTGTGCCACCTGCAGCTGCTCTTAAGGAACAGCAGAGTTGGGGGGCTGTACTGAGGCAAGGTTGGCTGCTAGCCTCCCTTCCCAGAGTATGTGCAGCCGGTAGTGAACGCAAAAGAGCCTGAACATTTAACAAGTAATGCTAATCGGACGTTGGAGGAGAAACGACTTAAGGATCAGCAAGTAAACCACACGAGAATCAGCATACACCCAGTATTTTCATAAATCACTGACGGAACAGCTGACAGAAATACACTAACACATGACAGACAAGGCGGGCCGCGCAACAGAGCACCTTTTCAAGAGGAGAATAGCCCTAGGCAAAATAAGTCGACAGGCCAATTCTGCTGGTGTCCCTGGAGGTTCAGCGCACAGTCCACAAAATACGCACAGTTATGCTCCTTGCCAAAACCATCTCACCAGCAACAGGGTAAAGGTTAACCGCTTTTCAAGTAGCGATTGCAAAGAAGGGTTGCCTGGGCATTCACTTACTCCATTCCAAGGATTAAGGCTCTGGTACAGACTTCCTGATTGACATAGGAGCGGCACTCAATGTCACACCAAAAATAAAAGAATGTCAGTGGAAGTGAACATTCAATGTTGGTCCATTGGCTTGGTCGCCATTGTTGGGCAACTCGAAGGCGTGAATGTTCGATCGTGTACAAGTTCGACGAAGATAAACGTAAACGAGTAAAAGTACACAATAATTTGGTATAAAACATTTGTTTATAGACTTTTATTATTCTCCGCTTTTATTCCCAAATAATATAACTTCCTTCTTACAATACTGGTATTTTGGAGTTAAAGTCGAAGAGAGTACATAGTATTTATCGGTGCGGAGCGTCTTCGTAACATGATGAACTTAGGGCTAAGTTCCTTGACATAGGACGAGGCGAAACGACGAAAGTTTGCTGTCAAGGTACAGGCCACCACAGAACCAAGATTGTGACGTTCAGGCAGAAAACACTGATCCTTGGTCTAAGGCTGAAATCACAGCTGCTATAGATGTCCACTATTAGCGATCTAGACTTGCCAGTCATGAGCATCGAGCTCTTAGGAGGATATGACTTATTAGTGGGTACTTGAAAGAGACGCCTAACAATGAACGAAACCTCCTGGTACACAAATGGCTAAGTGAGCCAGCGCCACTCGTTGGATCTAGCCCAATCTCCTTCAATATCATAATAACAAACGGAATCGGAGAGGGTGATAGAACGCTTTTAGCAAAAACTGAAAGTTGCATTGACGCCCCAATATAAGCCCTATGTTTGGACGTAATTCCCACCAGTGATAATCCTTGGTATATTAACAGCAATAAAAACTGATCCCTAATGAACAGCTGCAGGAGTGGTATTCGGAAACACACTTAGACCGCTTGGCAAGTTTATCAGCCAGCTGTTTACATAACAAGAATTATCACTGGTAGGAATTCTGTCCAGCCATAGGAATTAGAACTTTTGAACTCTTGCTCTACGGGTGTTCAGTTTCTGCGTGAATCATCTTTCCTTAATATTTTGGAAATTAGCCGCTTTCCTCACATTATCCAGTTATCCATAGTCAACAAGGATTGTATTGTATCAACTGGAACAACATATAGCATTCACTCGTGAAATCTACGTCAAGAATCCTCGGATACCCTATCTAACCACGTGGAACTCAGGACTTTATCCACAGCAAACTCTGTAAAGGAAAGTCTGACTTTTTATTTTTGCAATATAAATCTGTTTATCGTTGTTGTTTCGATACTTCGATAATACAGCTATCTTATTTTTATATCCTCAAGACTTTTTTTTTCCGGAAATTGTGAAGTTTCTTATTTCTGTAATGGTTAAGTCTATCAAACGTGTAAGTACCGTTAAAAGACTGAGATCTAATACTAGTCAGCCATCTGAAGGCCTCAGCTCCGTTGACAATTCTACACTGTTTACACCAGCCACACCCAGAGTTATGGTATGTGATATCATGGAGGAATTAGCAGAGAATGCGGCTTGTAGCAAAAATGATTTACTGACACTCCAGAAGTCAATAGCAGAAATACAGTGCAAGTTTGACAGCATTATGCCTCTCATGCAACTGTGTGACCCATCACAAAACATCTGTTTTGAATCACTAATCAAATCCGAGCGCATAATTGACTATTTGGCTGAAGAAGCTGTTAAGGGGATTATGTCTTCACATAATGTCTTGGCCTATAACATTCCAGACAGAGAGCCGATTTCCAAACATAAGAATTCGTGCCTAAAGGTGTCAATGGAGTTGAAGATTGAACGATCAATTCATGGTTGTTTGCTCAAAATCAACTTCCCCAATTTTCGCGGAGGCATCAATACGACAGTCATCGTCTCATCGGTCGCTGTTCAGAAAGAAGAGTGAAACATCGTCAGAAGTAATACGACGATTTATTATTGTAATATTTGTTTTCAGACCTTAGTTCGCTTATTCCTTTTATGTGTTGGTGTAACAATAAAAAAATCTCAAGCGGCAGATCAGTGTTTTGGTTTTTGCGTCCGTTATAACTAAGCGTTTCTGAGAAATCTTCGAAGAACAGCGTGGGCCCGAGCGTAGCGAGAGCTGGGCATTAACGGTTTATGAGACGTGATTGACAGTTTCTGACGATGAAACAGATCTGGCGGATTGAAACAGTTGGTGAAAGTTTGGATAGTCGCCGTTCATTTTTCCTGGTGCCGGTCAAGTCCTCTTTGAACAAGCAATATCTGGAACTTTTTGGAATTGGGTCAAGTTCAACAATGCCTGGGTCAAAGAAGGGACAGAGTGTCTTGGATGCAAACAGGAAAGTAAGTCATGGTGACTTGTCTGTTAATTGTAACGATGTGTCTGATGTTAAGCATGACATGGTTGATGTTACTGTTTCGCCGTTCAGGGATAATAGGAACATCAAACTCCCTAAATTTGAACCAC